TGTCTCCCGGCCGGGGGGGCTGGCGGCGAGCGCAGGGACCGGGGCTGTTTCAGCCACCGGGGGTGCTCCGGCCGCCGAGGCCGCTGCCGGTGGCCGTCCCGGGCGTGCAGCTGCAGGCGGCGCTGCCCACAAAGGACAAATTCTTTCTGCACGTCCCGAGCGCGGGAGCCGAAAGGCTCGGTGCCGGCTGGGTACCCCCGTACCGGGCGGCTGTAGGGGGAGGACCTCGCTCGGGAAAGAAAAGCCTCTAGTCTTCTGGACACCGTCGAATCATATCATGGAAGACAAGTTATTACCAAGATCACCTTAAAATATTAGCAAGCCACAGCGTTTTCCTTTTTCTCATCTTTGGTGGGTTGTTTTGGCTTTTTTTAAATAGATTTTGCCAATACCTACAATGTGTGAGGAAAACCACCAGTTCCACTTTGTAGCACAACCTGATGGACTACGTGTAAACTCCTCCTAGTGCAAAGCAGTAATAGCCCCAGCAGTGTTTTCCATTTACAGTAAGTTCAAAAATGTGTAATTGTAAATGAATTGTACAGATTCCTATAGAGTTGTCAAGTGTAAATTTAAAGACTCAAACCTTTACGGCATAAATGAATGGACAGTGTTTCTTTTTCCAAAGTGTGAGTTACATAACATTTGCATAGCTCGCTGGCACATCCACGCACTATTCATTGCAACACTCTCCCACAAGGTAGCAGGAGGCCGGTAACTGAGTGAGCATTCACTGCGGGTCAGATTCTGTCCTTGCCATGCTTTGCTCTGGAAACCATCCTGTAAACAGCTCAATAATGAGAACTGGGTGGAACACTAAGGCAAGGGCCCTTTTACACCGCTCTCCTTGGTGTCAACAGCAGAGTTCTTCAGGGCTGTCGCCTGCGGGAGCTACAGATCACCTGTGCACAACTCCCAGCCTCCTCCTTCTAAACACGGGATCTAGCAGTGGATCTAAGTATTTCGTAGAACACATAAAAACCGTGCGTGCTTTTATTGAACACAGAGTTGTAGGTTACACACACAAAGCGGTAATTTTCAAACCCTGCAAAGTAAGATTTGACTTCATGGTAAGTGGAAGGTACACAGAAATCCCCACACAGAACTCAGCCTGCCAACACACAATGCTGTCATTCAGACACAGATGACAAATGTGCCTTTATATACTACTTTGATTCATTGTCTGTCTCTGATGTTTCTTTGTACTTTACAATCTTGTTGAATCTTGCACATACTTACCCTGAATCATGGCACAAAAAGGGATTTCTAAAGTATAATGAAACTGTTTTCATTGATTTCTTATTGATTACACATTTCATGTTTACAAGTATTTGTATTTACAGGGATAACTCCTCAGGCTTCTTAAGGGTCAGGCATTACTAGCATGATGATGGATGCATAGCCTGCTAATCCAGAAACACTTGGATGGGGTATAAAAAGGGAAATGAATGTAGGATGCAGGACCCCCTTAGGAAACACTGCAAATTGAGTGTTCTTATCAGTCAACAAATGTAAAATACCTTGCACAAATGTGCAGTGAACACCTGAAGATTCTCAGCTGATGTTACTGATCACATCACAACTTAACTGCATACTAGTCAAATAGCTTTCAAGTTCTTGTCTGTTAAATTTTATTAATTAGTACAATTATTGGTTCATATTTAGATTCCTGCTTTTGGTAGTGATTAAATAACCCTTAGATTCAAAAGCCACACACTGCTCCTAGTGTTAATAAAGATGTACTTGGCATTTGCACAGAATTTTCTCAGAATTTCACAGCCCAGGCATTTTGACATTTCTAGGAAACCTTGTCACATGACTGTTAAAAAAACCCTGAAGTGTGCACACACATATGCATATATACATTTAAATGACTTGTACAAGAACACAAAGCACCAGTACCTACATTACTAAAAAAGTAGCATACCATCATTTGTTGCTGTTGTATTTTACTCTATGTATAAAATTCCAAATGAGAGGTACTTAGTGTCTACTTTGATGCAGAGCACTTCCTCTGCAATCCACAAATTACCTTTTCTGTAGTTTTGCCCACAGCAGACTTGCCAGTTTCTGTGCTGATGGCAGGACACTGCAGAAACAGGTCACTTTGGAAACAAAATAAAGGCAACCCTGGGGGACTTTGTAAAGGGAAGCCTACATTTCTGCTCCCAAAAGCTTCTCACACGCTGTTCTATGCTCTATACTGAGAGCCAATAAACATTGCTTGCTAATACAAGCTGCTCTGAACTAAATGAAAAGAGCTCTTTTTATTAATTAACAGTGGCTGGTGACCATGTTTAAAACTGCATTGCCTGGTGCACGTCAGCATAAAACACAAGCTTGTAATGTATGCTGAAACATGCAGCTGCCCTTTTTACAGCCCCCTCAGAACAGTTTTCAGCATTTTAATGCTACTGAGCTATGATGTCTAAGAAATGTAGCCTTTGATATCTAAAAGGCAGCCCCAGGTACATCCAGGCGAACTATGTTTCATAGAACTGGCATCTGCAGATGGAGCTAGCTGTCAAAACTCAGTGTGTCCTCAACATTAGGACTCTGACAGTAGAGGAGCACCCTCTCTGTGATGGAATAAGGAGAGCCATCTATAGGAAGCAGCTCTTAAGAACCGCTTAAAATTACTCATACCTTTCCAATTTGTCCTTCTTCCAGGACCAAGGCTTTTAGGTTTCATTTAGAACCTTTCATTACACTGTCTAAACACCTTAGATAATGCTAATGTTTTATACCAATATCATTATCTCATCCAGGTCTTTCAGATCTCAGCTGAAATAATATAATTAAGTGGACTTCATCAGACTGGGAGGAGGCAGCAATATAGAAGTGTTGATACAGCAAACCATCCCAAAGCAGTATATTAAGAATCAGCTTTCTTACTCATAGTGAAAATGAGAAGATAAACCAGTTTCAAACTATTTTCTTGAATTTAGAAATTTTCGTTTAAAACATATCTGGGTTTTTTTTTCCAATTGGTCTCCTCTTTCTCCCAGATTATAGCTTTGCAAATTTTTTCTAAAGTGCTCTAAACCCCTATTGCCTCAGTCTCAACCGGGAGATGCAACAACCAATTATTAAACTATTGAGAGTGTACTGAAACTACTCCATAAAGCTGTAAATCAAAGAGATACTATGAAGGGCAGAGGAGGTTTCAAAAAAACACCATCAAGAGAAATTTTCATAGCTGTTGAAGTTCTGCCAGAGGTACCTGTGACAAAATTAAATTTACCCACACTGAGTATATCAATTCCTAAAATACTGGATTTGGTTTAAGGGTCTGTCAGCTACTAAAGTGGTATGACTTCACTAAAAGGATCAATGAAACCATTATCTTCTATTTCTCCTCAAGATGAAGGTGCATCTAATGTGGCATGTGTAGAATATCAACATATGTAATTCAGTTAGGCAAATCATCTCCATTGGGTAAACACATCCCTCTTTACAAAATGACTATCTAATTTATCATCACAACCTGAAGCACAGCCTTTGGATGTCTTCTGTCACAATTCTGTATTAATTCAAACCTATTCATCTTACAGGAAGTAGTTTGTTGTCTTCAAACATCTGTCTTGTGCCATTTGTGTAGCCCGTGGCTCAGTGATATTTCTGTCTCCTTATTGTGTGTTAACAATAAGCTTGTCTAATTACGTATTGTTGGTAAATAATTTACATTTTCCCTTTTAAAATGACCGCCATCTGTGATTGCACCAGCTTTAAAAAAAGCTTTAAAATAAGGAATCTGCATCTCTCTTGGCTAAGTTGGTGGTGATTAATATACACTCCCCAGACTTTCCCTTTGTACACAGTATATAAATTGTAGTATTTCCTAATACATTTATCCTACAGATTTCCCACTGCAGCTGTGGATGCCAGATCCCTGTAAGCGTTACAGGCCAGGCTGGATGGGGCTCTGAGCAACCTGTTCTAGTGGAAGGTGTCTCTGCCCATAGCAGGGGGATTGGCACCTGATGACCTTTAAGGTCCCTTCCAACTCAAACCGTTCTTTGATTCTAAGTATTTTGTAGTAATTGTGTTACACTTATTTCCTGGATTTACCACCAATTCTAGGGGACTATGCTTGACAAGCAGCTAAGATGACCAATTCACGGAAGTGTGACACTCTTCTCATTTCCTCTTTTACTGTCCCTTCACCTGGTCCCTTGCAAAGGAATAGCCATATACCGACAGCTCCTCGCACTAGCCAGGAAACTGCTCTTGGGATAACACGGCTTTCAGACAAGTCACCTGCACTTGCTGCTTCGGGCTGCTTTCCTTCAACATACCGTCTGTGTACTCCCGACTCCGGTTGAAGGCAACGTGGAGATCAGCCTGGACTCCTCTCAGGCTCCAAGATTAAGTCTTAAACTTAAGACTTGAACTCGGGCCACAGCGCGTTGAGTGGGACCAGCCCTCGGCTCTTTCGGGGGCCGCCTGTGACCCTACATTTTGCAGGAGTGAGGAGGCGACCTCACTCCTCAGCCGTTCCCTCCCGTTGGCCGCAACGCCCCGAGCGAGGCGCGGCCGTTGCAGCCGCGCGGGC